ACTATAGCGTAGAGGCAGGCATCCTCTGAAGTTATCCATTAGCCATGATATTGGACTCTCCTTCTGTCCTCATGGTTGCAATATAAAGGCAGACTCCCCATGAAGTATAACCATTAGCCCTGGTCAGTGGCAGAACTAAAGTAGAGAGGACCCTGGTGAAATAAATTTATTGCCCCTCCCCCTCCGCCCTCCCCCTCTTCACTTATCGCAAAAATGGCCAACAGGTAGATCCCCATCTGTTGTACAACTCTCACAATGCTTTGCCAGCTGGGGATCTAACATTTGCCCATCCATGGTTATATTTAGCACTGAGCACTGTTTGAGTGTTTGAATGTAAGCATGGTGTTGTATGAAGTATCTTTACAAATGTTTTTTTATTGTTTTCACTAATAATAATAAAGATAACAATTGTACATTTTCGTCAATGTTTTTAACAGTATATAATATTTAACCCCTTCAGGACCGGACTGTTTTGGCGATGTTGTACGTTAACCCCTTAAGACTGGAGGGCGTACAATTACGCCCTATTATAGGCGGCTCTAAACGCCGCCGGGCGTAATTGTACGCCCTCCGGTCTTTCTGTACTTACCCGGTCGCCGGCGATCGCGGTTCGGGGGACTCCCAGGGAGCCCCCCGCAGCACGTCCGACCCCCTGGAAGCCCCCCGGCCATGTGAGAGTGAGGTCCTTGCGAGGACCCCACAATCACATGGCCGGGTAGGCTGCCTGCTGCATTGCCAGCAGGGGGGCTGGCTGTAATGACAGGTGGTCCCCCTGCTGGCTGAAAATAAAAATAAACTAAATTAATTAAGTGTAAAAAAATATATATATATACTTAGATCATATATATATTATATATATATGATCTAAGTATATATATACACATATACATACACACACATACACTGTCTAGGTGTATTTTACTATTAATATATATATAATTATATATATATATTAATATCAAATTACACGTAGACTGATACTGATTAAATATATATATAATTATTGTTATATATATTTATATATAATATAAAAAAATTTAATATGTAAATACGTTAAAAAATAAAATTAAAAAAATAATAAAAAAATTATTAAAAAATATATAGATGTGTGTTATTTCATTCTAACTGTATTGTGATATTAATATATATATATATATATATTTATATCAAAATACACGTAGAACGAAATATATATATATATCTACATACATAAATATATACGTATATATCACTATATATATACCTATATATAAATAAAAATATTTTAAAAATATATATATATATACACATATAGATTCACATACATATATATATATATATACATATATTAATTCTACATATATATTTATGTAATATTTTTACATAATTAGGTATCTTAATTAATTACAATTAGCGGGACCTGCCTGACAACCCATGCCGAAAGTAAAGGGAATTTAATTTGTTAGCACTATATTTAACCCTATAACTTTCCAAGACACCATAAAACCTGTACATGGGGGTACTGTTCTACTCGGGAGACTTCTTTTGAACTTAAATATTAGTGTTTCAAAACAGTAAAATGTATTACAACGATGATATCAGTAAAAGTGCAGTTTTTTGCATTTTTCATGCACAAACACACTTACGACGATATTATTGCTGTGATACTTTTGCTGTTTTAAAAGTGTGTTCAGCAAAGTCTCGAGAAGTGTACTCCTCTCATACAGGTTTTATGGTGTTTTCAAAAATTACAGCGTCAAATATAAGGCTTGTGTTTCATTTTTTTCACATGAAAATTCCCCAGATTGGTTACGGTGCCTTTGAGACCCCATGGTAGCCCAAGAATGAAAATTACCCCTATGATGGCATACCATTTGCAATAGTAGACAACCCAAGGTATTGCAAACGGGGTATGTCCAGTCTTTTTTAGTAGCCACTTAGTCACAAACACTGGCCAAAATTGGCGTTTTTTGCATTTCACACACAAACAAATACTAACGCTAACTTTGGCCAGTGTTTAGCCACTTAGTCACAAACACTGGCCAAAATTGGCGTTTTTTGCATTTCACACACAAACAAATACTAACGCTAACTTTGGCCAGTGTTTGTGACCAAATGGCTACTAAAAAAGACTGGACATACCCCATTTGCAATACCTTGGGTTGTCTACTATTGCAAATGGTATGCCATTATGGGTGTAAATTTCATTTCCGGGCTACTATACAGTCTCAAAGGCAACGTAACCAATCTGGCGAATTTCAATTTCAAATGTAACGTGCTATATTTGACCCTGTAACTTCCCAAATGCCATAAAACCTGTACATAGGGGGTACTGTTTTACACGTGAGACTTTGCTGAATACAAATGTGTATTTTATTGCAGTAAAAGCAAACAGTATTATGACATTGACAGTTAAATGTCATGTAGAACTAAAATAAATCTTATTTTCTCCCATTTTTATCATATTAAATTGTTTCATAGCTAAATATTTGATATTAAATAAAAGCCCTGTTTCCCCTGAATAAAATTATATATAATAAGGGTGGGTGCATTTAATATGAAAGAGGTGAATTACGGTTGGACAGACATGTAGTGCAAATGCCAGGTTTTGTTTACATTTTGTTTCGCTCACAACATGTACATTTGGCCCGGCCCCAACCCCTTCAGGATCTGTGACGGACGCAGGCGATCGCTGGAAGTTAGCGTGCTCCCGGTATGCCTCTGCATTAGAGGCATACCGGGAGCACCCGGTCAAGCTGCCCAGCACATGTGCTCGCTCTGACCACAAGTCGGAGCGAGCACATGTGCTCTGCATACTTACCTACCGGCTCCCTGCACTTCCGGGTTCTGTGTGAAGTGCAGGGAGCCGGATCAGTGCTGATCCTGCCCCCTGCTGTTTAAAAAAATAAAGTTTATTTAAAGCCCCCCCCCTTACCCATTTTAATAAAAAATTAACCCCTTCCCTGCCAATTGATCACTGACTACAGTGATCAATTGGCAGGGATTACATTTTACTATGATCTGATTATTATTTTTTTAACCCCTGAGGGTTAATTCTTTTTTTTTTAACCCTCAGGGGTTAAATTAATTAAATTAATTAATTAAATTATTTTTACATTATATATTTAGATAGCTGGGGTAGGTGGAAGTTAGTGGGGAATTGGGGGATTTGGCGTTAGGCTAACTAGGAGTTAACGTTAAAAAAAGTTTTAAAAGAAACTTTAAAAAGTTAAAAATTAAGCTTAAAAAAATGTTTTAATAACATTTAAGTAAAAAAAACAAAAAAACACACTTTACCCAGTCCAAATAAAAATTAACCCCTTCCCTGCCAGTCGATCACTGCCTACAGCGATCAAATAGAGATCACAGTATTATACTGTGATCTAATTTTTTTAACCCCTGAGGATTAACTTTTATTTATTTTTTTAACCCTCAGGGGTTCAATTTATTTAATTAATTAATTTAAATATTTTATAACTATATATTTTGCTAGCTGGGGTGGGTGGGTGTTATGGGAAAATGGGGAATTTACTGTTAATGCTGCGTACTGCTAGTTAGGGGTTAACGGTAAAAAAAAAAGCTTAGAAAAATGTTAAATCTGTAAAAAAGTTTTAAGAAAGTTTAGGAAAGTTTAAAAAAAATTTATAAGCAAAACAAAAGCTTAAAAACTAGTTTTTAAAAGTAAAAAAGTTATAAAAAGTAAAAAAATACATTTTAAAAACGCTCATTACCACTACACCTGGAACAAACTAGAGAAAAAATTATCCCACGCCAAGGTTCAAAATATGTCTTTTGAATTACCCCAGGGTGTATTCTTTAATAAATAGTATGTGTTTGTGGGGAAGTCTCAATAACCAACCGTCTAAACTATTCCAAATTGGAACATGGACACAGCGTAAAACGTCAAAGTTAGAAAAAAACTGAATGGCTGCGTCTCAAATGCGCCCCTTCAACATCCACATATACCTGGCAAAGGTACATATGGGGATATTGCTGTACTCAGCCGACATAGCTGAGCAACATATGAAGTATTATACAGTCATAGCACACATAAGGTTTGCAAAATATGCTGCGCAAACTCACTTTGTAAGTCAAAAAGGCAGAAAAAATGCTTATTACCACTACACTTGGTACAAGCTAGCGGAAAAATGATCCCACACTAAGGTTCAAAATATGCCTTTTGAAATACCCTGTGATGTCTTCTTTAAGAAATGGTATGGCTTTATGGGGAATTTGGATTATATAGCCTGGTAAAATACTCTAAAATGGGACATAGGCACAGCATAAAAATTCAAAGTTTGAAAAAAACTGGAATGGTTGTGTCCCAAATGTGCCCCTCCGATGTCCACACATACCTGGCAAAGGTACATACGGGGGTATTGCTGTACTCAGCCGACATAGTTGAGCAACATATGAAGTATTATACAGTCGTAGCACACATAAGGTTTGCAAAATATACTGTGCAAACTCACTTTGTATGTCAAAAAGGCAGAAAAACGCTTATTACCACTACATCTGGTACAAGCTAGCGGAAAAATGATCCCACGCTAAGGTTCAAACTATACCTTTTGAAACACCCTGGGGTGTCTACTTTAAGAAATGGTAGGCCTTTGTGGGGTAGATTGAATTTAAAATCTGCGAAGATGCTTGGAAATTGCACATAGGCCCAGCGTCAAAATTCAAAGTTTGGTAAAAACGGATATGGCTTGGTCTCCTATATGGCACTGTAGCTTCACAAAATAGTGACAAAGACATTCATTGGGGTGTATTTTTACTCAAAAGACTTAGCTGAGCATAATTTGGGAGGTTTGAACTTAGTGGCACATATGAAATATACAAAACGCCCAGCAAAAATGCAATCCGTATGTAAAAAATGCACAAAATAATTTTTTTACCACATACTTTGGCATATATTGGTGAAAAAATGGGGGTATGTTAAGGCACAATATGCACCTTATGAGATACCCTGGAGTGTCTACTTTTACAAATGGTAGGCCTTTGTGGGGGTTTTTTGAACAGTCAAACTGTTATAATACCCCAAATGGAAGCTAAGGCTCATTAAATCCATCTCTCAAAATTCTACTGTGAATACTGTAAAGGACAGGTCTCCTATATGGCACTGTAGCTTCACGAAATAGTGCCAAAGACATTCATATGGGGTGTCATTTTACTCAGAAGACTTAGCTGAGCATAATTTGGGGAGTTTGAACTTAGTGGCACATATGAAATATACAAAACGCCCAGCAAAAATGCAATCCGTATGTAAAAAATGCACAAAATTATTTTTTACCACATACTTTGGCATATATTGGTGAAAAAATGGGGGCATGTTAAGGCACAATATGCACCTTATAAGATACCCTGGAGTGTCTACTTTTACAAATGGTAGGCCTTTGTGGGGGTTTTTTGAACAGTCAAACTGTTATAATACCCCAAATGGAAGCTAAGGCTCATTAAATTCATCTCTCAAAATTCTACTGTGAATACTGAAAAGGACAGGTATCCTGTATGGCACTGTAACTTCACGAAATAGTGCAAAAGACATACAATGGGGGTGTCATTTTACTCAGCAGATGTAACTGAACACAAAATAAAACTTTGTACAGGAATAGCACACACCAACTTTACAAAATATACACGAGAATTTCTCTGTTATAAGTTTGTGTGCCAAAAACCAAAAAGAACACAATTTTACTCCAATATTTAGCAGAGGTTGGCGGTAATATGGCTACGTAGAAAGTGTCAAAACAACCTTAGGTAAATAGCCCGTGATGTCTACTTATATAAATATATACTTTTGTGTGGCAATTTTGTTTTCTTTTATGGCTATTAAGCTTACAAGACAAACATACCAAATTCTAAAATCGCTCCACATTAAAAGTTTATTTTACTCCTTGTGCTTTGTGACCTGTAACTACCAAAAAAAACTTAAAATCCCAGACACATTATATATTCTGTAAATCAGAACAAATAAATAAATTTATTTTTTAATTACTTTCCTTAACCTGCACTAATTATGCACACATTATTATTGCAAAAACTGTAAAAAAAAACCAATATTTTTCATTTTTTTTGCATTTTTCTGTATTTTTTTTATAATAAGTAAGCATTTATATATATATATGTTATATCAAATTAAAGCCATTTCTGTCCTTTAAAAAACAGTATATAATATGTGTCGGTGCAATAAATGAGAGAGATGCAAATTGCAGTTGAATGCAAACAGCAAGAAAATGCAAAAATTGCTTGTGTCATTAAGCGTAAGTCAAGCTTCTGAAGCTGTGTCCTTAAGGGGTTAAGGGGTTAAGGACCAGAGCTGTTTTAACACTTTTGTGGTGTTTGTGTTTAGCTGTAATTTTCCTCTCTCTCATTTACAGTTCCCATACAAGTTATATATTGGATTTTTTTCAGGACAAGAAGGGCTTTCTTTACATACCATTATTTGTATCATGTCATATAATTTACTTTAACCAAAATAATAAAATATGACTTTTACTTGAATTTTGTTTTACATATCTAAAAAAGCTAATAAAAATAGTGCTAAATAGATTCAAAATGTTGTCCTGAGTTTAAACCCCCCCCAGTGTTTACATGCTTTTTTTTTTGCAAGTTATAGGGCTATAAGTACAAATAGGAAAATGCTGTTTCAAAATACATATTTTTAAATTGATCAATAGCGACATATTAACACCATTACCTGTCATAAATCTCTGAATCACACCTCACATGTACACACCTTTCACTGAAATGCCAACCCAGTTAAGAGATATACAGAGACAAAGTAGGGACCACTTTGTCTCTATATTTACAGCACTTCTAGACTCTGGCCGGAGCTGCCACCCTCTAGAAGAGTCAATCCCTCCCGGCTGCAGGGTATTGGCTGGGTCTATGGAGGATCCCGTGACATTGGCTTCTGAGTTGAAGAGGACTTGCCAAAGAGAGATGACTGCTCCCTCATCATCTCACCTTTACCTGCCCCCCCCAGCCATTGAACTCCCTGTGGCAATGTCACCGTCGCCTGCAAAGTCTCCAGATGGTGACAGTGCCACTTTAAGGCAGCAACAAGAAGCTATTAATATATGTCCAGCTGTATCGCAGAGAATTCTCACAGGGTCGTTTACTGAAGTTAAAATTTTAAGAAATTCAAAGTGAATTTAGAATTTAAGGCCAAGGTTGATGAACTGGAAGCCTAGCTAACTTCGATAGTTTTCCAATAAATGTGAAAGCTGGGCCGGAGGAAGCATTCCAGATGAATTAATAAATCCTAAAATATATCCTGCACTTTAAAACCACAAATTATAGCACATTACCCCTTCTACAACCCTCAGTGATGTAGGCAAAATTATATTGTTGCAAAATCTCCAAACTAATGTAGTGCATCCCTCCCACCCCTACCCTTCCATATGCTCACTAGACACTACAAGAGATGAATAGGAACAGCTAAGCCCATCCAATGAAGACTTTGTACTGTGCTGAACAATGTCTTGTATTGTAGACAAATGAAGTTTCTGTTACAGCATTGACACAAGGCAGTTTGTGTTCCGAACTAGCTCTGTACACAGCATAGCACTGATAAAGCAGGTGTTCGGTATTATCAGAGAGCCAGCCTGTTAACAATGATTGTGGTTACTAGAATGAACCAAACAAGTTACATATAGCAAATAAAACAGAGGGACTACATACAATAAAACAAACAAACAAACTACATATACTAAAATAAAACAGAGGGACTACGTAAAACAAACAAGCCACATATACTACAATAAAACAGAGGGACTACATACAATAAAACAAACAAGCCACATATACTAAAATAAAACAGAGGGACGACATACAATAAAACAAACAACCTACATATACTAAAATAAAACAAAGGGGTACATACAATAAAACAAACAGGCTACATACACTAAAATAAAACAGAGGGGTACATACAATAAAACAAACAGGCTACATACACTAAAATAAAACAGAGGGGCTACATACAATAAAAAAACAGGCTACATACACTAAAATAAAACAGAGGGGCTACATACAATAAAACAAACAAGCCACATATACTAAAATAAAACAGAGGGGTACATACAATAAAACAAACAAGCTACATATACTAATATAAAACAGAGGGACTACATACAATAAAACAAACAAGCCACATATACTAAAATAAAACAGAGAGGTACATACAATAAAACAAACAGGCTACACACATAAAATAAAACAGAGGGACTACATACAATAAAACAAACAAGCCACATACACTAAAATAAAACAGAGGGACTACATACAATAAAACAAACAGGCTACACACACTAAAATAAAACAGAGGGGTACATACAATAAAACAAACAGGCTACATACACTAAAATAAAACAGAGGGGTACATACAATAAAACAAACAAGCTACATATACTAAAATAAAACAGAGAGGTACATACAATAAAACAAACAGGCTACACACATAAAATAAAACAGAGGGACTACATACAATAAAACAAACAAGCCACATACACTAAAATAAAACAGAGGGACTACATACAATAAAACAAACAGGCTACACACACTAAAATAAAACAGAGGGGTACATACAATAAAACAAACAGGCTACATACACTAAAATAAAACAGAGGGGTACATACAATAAAACAAACAAGCCACATATACTAAAATAAAACAGAGGGACTACATACAATAAAACAAACAAGCTACATATACTAAAATAAAACAGAGGGGTACATACAATAAAACAAACAAACTACATATACTAAAATAAAACAGAGGGGTACATACAATAAAACAAACAAGCCACATATACTAAAATAAAACAGAGGGGTACATACAATAAAACAAACAGGCTACATACACTAAAATAAAACAGAGGGACGACATACAATAAAACAAACAGGCTACATATACTAATATAAAACAGAGGGACTACATACAATAAAACAAACAAACTACATATACTAAAATAAAACAGAGGGACGACATACAATAAAACAAACAACCTACATATACTAAAATAAAACAAAGGGGTACATACAATAAAACAAACAGGCTACATACACTAAAATAAAACAGAGGGGTACATACAATAAAACAAACAGGCTACATATACTAAAATAAAACAGAGGGACTACTTACAATAAAAAAAACAGGCTACATACACTAAAATAAAACAGAGGGACTACGTAAAACAAACAAGCCACATATACTAAAATAAAACAGAGGGACTACATACAATAAAACAAACAAGCCACATATACTAAAATAAAACAGAGGGACGACATACAATAAAACAAACAGGCTACATATACTAAAATAAAACAGAGGGACTACATACAATAAAACAAACAAGCCACATATACTAAAATAAAACAGAGAGACTACATACAATAAAACAAACAGGCTACACACATAAAATAAAACAGAGGGACTACATACAATAAAACAAACAAGCCACATACACTAAAATAAAACAGAGGGACTACATACAATAAAACAAACAGGCTACACACACTAAAATAAAACAGAGGGGTACATACAATAAAACAAACAAGCTACATATACTAAAATAAAACAGAGGGACGACATACAATAAAACAAACAACCTACATATACTAAAATAAAACAGAGGGACGATATACAATAAAACAAACAAGCCAAGTATACTAAAATAAAACAGTGGGACGACATACAATAAAGCAAACAGGCTACATATACTAAAATAAAACAGAGGGGCCACATACAATAAAACAAACAAGCTACATATACTAAAATAAAACAGAGGGACTACATAAAATAAAACAAACAAACTACATATACTAAAATAAAACAGAGGGACTACGTAAAACAAACAAGCCACATATACTAAAATAAAACAGAGGGACTACATACAATAAAACAAACAAGCTACATATACTAAAATAAAACAGAGGGGTACATACAATAAAACAAACAAGCCACATATACTAAAATAAAACAGAGGGGTACATACAATTAAACAAACAGGCTACATACACTAAAATAAAACAGAGGGACGACATACAATAAAACAAACAGGCTACATATACTAATATAAAACAGAGGGACTACATACAATAAAACAAACAAACTACATATACTAAAATAAAACAGAGGGACTACATACAATAAAACAAACAAGCCACATATACTAAAATAAAACAGAGGGGTACGTACAATAAAACAAACAAGCCACATATACTAAAATAAAACAGAGGGACTACATACAATAAAA